AAAATAAAATAAAATAAAATAAAATAAGAAATTATGTCTGGTCTATGAACGGAAGAAGCAAAGACACTATTTAATTTAATGCAGAAAACAGAAATGAGGCAAAATCACATGTGAATACCAGCTTCTAATATTATTAAAAAAGACTAACAAAATTCCCCTAAAAACAAGGGCTTATCAAATAGAAATAGGAAGGTGGTATTCTTTTTTTATACAGGGCAGTGATCAGATTGTTCCTAGAATACTGACATCTGCCATCTTTAAAATCCTGAAAATTGAGACATTTGAGAGGACTTAAACTGTATTTGCCAAAGTACTTAAATGTTTGGGAAACCCTCTAAAGTGCAAATAGCTTTCATTTGGATAAAATAAAAGAAGGAGCTGCTCGAACACAGCAGTTGCAAACTGAACAGACACCAATTATTAGTGGACTCGAACCTAATAAGCATAAGGAATATTCAAGATTCAAGATTCCACTGGAACAGGTTGCCCAAGGAAGTTGTGGATGCCCCCTCTCTGGAAGTGTTGAAGGCCAGGCTGGATGAGGCTTTGAGCAACCTGGTCTAGTGGAAGGTGTCCCTGCTGATGGCAGGGGGGTTGGAACTGGATGAGCTTTAAGGTCCCTTCCAACCCAAACCATTCCATGATTCTATGAAGATTTCAAGTCCGGATTCAAGCTGAGGAGGAAATTATCTGCGTGTTTTGGTGTTTCTAAATGAATGCAATCTGCCCTATTGATTCCAGAACCAACAAGCTTATATTGATTCTAGAACCACCGGTTTCCTGATGACAAAAGTGAAATGCACAGAGACTGGCACCGTACCATTTGAAGCTGCTGTTTCCTCCGCAAAATAGCATTGAGTTTTTCTTGTTGTTTGATGTAAGTTTTCATTACTTCTTCCATGATCCTTCCCTTGTCATCTTCACAACTGATGTCTTTCATGAGATTGGGGGACAAGGTTAGCACATCGTTACCTACTTCAAGGTGGCTAGAGTCTCTAGTGACTTTGGAAGAAAGACGTTCGGATTTTCCACCTCTCGCAGAACGAGTTGACACAGGTGGATCTACAGAAAAAAAAGGAGAAAAGAACACAGCATAATAATGACAGAAAATTAAATTTCCAGAGTGCAGAAAAAAAAATGCAAAGGAAATTGCAGATTATAAAAATGTCAAAAGAATTTTTAGAAAACTGAAATGACATCACAAAATATTAGCCTGGTGTTAAGCTTTCCAAAATTATATGGTATAAACATTGAAAAGACTTCCAACATACTTTTCACTACTCACCTAAAGGTTTATGCTGCTCCACACCAGCTTTCAAGTCAATTTTTTCCTGTTCTTCAAGAGAAAGCTCTGGATAGGAGGCAGGTTTTTTGTGCTTTCCACTGCTGAGCTTCTTCTCTGACTGCCCAGGTGAGGATTTAATTAATTCTGAAGCTCTGACCGTTGTTTTTGCAACATCCTTACATTGAGATGCAAGAGATACATTTGGGGCAACCACTTTATCACACATATAAAGGTAGTAACTGAAACAGCAGAACAGGAAAATTAAGAATTAAATGTAAGGCATAATAAATGATGCCTGGTAGAGATCCGTAAGTTTAATTTAATGCAATTTCAAACTGTAAAAGTTTCAATGAAAAATAAGCACATCCTTTTTAATTTTTTCCTATGCAAAAGGAAATCCTAATGACTCACTTAATCTTTACGGAGCAGATTATCTAGATAAGGTTCTGAGGCGATCAAACAAGAGGATTTTTCAAACATAGCTGATTAAAAAAATCATATAGAAAATCACAGAATCACAGAATGTCAGGGGTTGGAAGGGACCTCAAAAGATCATCCAGTCCAATCCCCCTGCCAGAGCAGGAACCTCAATGAGATCACACAGGAAGGCGTCCAGGTGGGTCTTGAATGTCTCCAGAGAAGGAGACTCCACACCCTCCCTGGGCAGCCTGTCCCAGGGCTCTGGCACCCTCACTGTAAAGAAGATTCTTCTCAAGTTTAAGTGGAACCTCCTGTGTTCCAGCTCACACCCATTGCCCCTTGTCCTACCATTGGGCATCACTGAGAAGAGCCTGGCTCCATCCTCCTGACATTCACCTTTAACATATTTATAAACATTAATGAGGTCCCCCCTCAGTCTCCTCTTCTCCAAGCTAAAGAGCCCCAGCTCCCTCAGCCTTTCCTCATCAGGGAGATGCTCCATTCCCTTCATCATCTTGGTGGCTCTGCACTGGAAGTCTTCATTTAAATACCAAGAGTGAAACTGGAATGCCACTGAATCCAGACTCTCCAGCATTTTCATAATCTATCTTAGCCCCGGAGGATGCGGGAAGCAATCAGTGCAGTGGGAATGAGCAGATCACGCTTTAAATAGCAAAGCTGTGTCCTGACAGTGCTGGGGCATGTCTGAGACCAATGCTGGACCTTCTTTCCTCCATATATTGACTAACCTGTCTGGATTTTCACAGCTCCTGGAATCCTGGGAGCAATTTTCTATTCCACCCTAACCTAGCCACTCAGTTTTTGTCTAGTACAGAGGAAAAAGCACCAGATGTGTTAAAGGTCAGTGCCAAGACAATCAGTGTCACAATGCTGGAGTCAAGATTGCTGTCTTCAACACTTTCCTTTCTTCTAGTTCTGAAGGAAGGCACTGATAGAACCATCACAGTAGCTCCCCCATTCACATGTTTGAGTGGGAACTAGTATGTGTGTTGTTGCTTTGATGTGTGCTGAAAGAGTCTGATCTCACCCACACACAGTAAATGCATCGCCACATGGGGATGAGGGCAAGAGGCACGTCAAGAAAAACTGCTTCCCTCGCTGATGCAGATGACAAACTTTGTACTATGTGAAGGAAATGCACTTGGTTTCTAAAACCAGGAAACTAATCAACAGACAATTCAGCTGAAGCCATTGTTCCAGTGCAGAAGAAAACCTTCAAACACGTTTTACAAGTCTTTTTTGATAGGAAATCGAGTTGCACTCACAGTAAATAGGCCCTGTGTAGCTTTCCACCTGCATGCATTATATTATAATAAGACAGATTAAAAATTACCTTCTGTAATTTCTACTCTGAAAAGGGAAATTGTAATTACATTTCAATTGTATTGCTACTGAAGAACACTCGTAGATCACAGCTTGAGTCCTGCCCCAAAAACCACTCATAAGCAGTTCATTACCATTTACACTAAGAAATGCAGGGTTCAGTTATTCCTGTGCAATCCCTTAGAGCTTTCCTAACAGTTCAGGTTGCAAATACTTTTTTTTTTCAGTTTGAATTATCTTTAAATAGCCACAGGTATTTGAATAATTGTACATACAGTGCTTATAGTTCTACACAGGAATTCAGTTACCTGGGATGGAAAAAGGAGGGTGGTTGAGGATCTGTTTCTGCTTCTTGCTTTATAACTGGATACCACTGTGGTAATTCCAGGCTCTGCTGTGAATCTGCCTAAAGAAAATAAAAATAAATTGGTAATTGTAAGATGGGTACATGTTACTCACGTTTTCATAAATGCTCCTGAGCAGAATGGCATTTACATGGTTAAAACATACACACTAGAGAAACTGGGGTACATGAAAATGGAGTGTTTCTGGCAGAGATGCAGGGTGATGCAAGCCACAGGAGATTGGTCAATCTCCAATTTCTCACTATGGGCAAAGTAGCAAAGAAGTTAAAAGAAAAATCTCTTTACAAACCTATATAAAAGCTCTGCTGAGTTTCCAGAACTCTGCCCCAGGCATGTCAAAAATGTTTGGGAGAAACAGAAAGCAGAAACTAGGATTCCCAAAAGGTTGTAGGAGCCTTTTGCAATAAAGTATCCACATCATAGTAAGCACCTGCCAGATACTTTATTACAAAATAAAACCTGTGAATAAAATTGAACAATTATTGGTGTTATAGAGACAGAACTTTCTTCAGTTCTCACCATTTTTTATTACAGAAGTGGGCAAAGCTGGTGCAATAACATGACAACTCCATTCCTTTTGCAGTAACAAACAAAATTAATTCAGGTGCATCAGAACAAATCATCTTAAAAAACTTCTGTGCATTCTGTATTTGGGTAGCAATTCTTGTTCTGTTTGTCTCTGCGATATTTTGTGCTCCACTGCAAAACTTCCTATCAATTTCAAGCGAGAGGTGTTTTGTCATATGCAAGACTCATAGCTAAGAAGCTGGTTCTTAATCTCACTGTATTGAAATAGCCTTGGGAAGCAGGTTTTTGGGTAAGGGATGGTTGGTTGACCCCAGTCAGCAGCCAAGCACCCACGCAGCTGCTCCCTCATCACCACCCCAGGGGATGGGGACAGAAGCAAGAAAGCTCCTAAACCAAGACAAAGATGGTTTAATAGATAAAGGAAAGAGAAAAAAAACAAGTGAAGCAAAGGATATTGCTCCCCATCTTCCACGGGCCAGCCAGTCTCTGAACAACGTCCACCTTGCATGCCAAAACCTCCTTTCCTCTCCTTCTATCCCAGTTTTTTATTGCTGAGCATGACATTATAAAGTACCAAGTATCTCTCTGACCCCTGCCAGCCTCTTGCCCACCCCCAGCCTACTCGCTGCAGGGGTCAGGCACAAAACAGAGAAAGCTGTGATGCTGCCTAAGCACTGTTCAGCAGCAGCCAAAACACTGCTGTGTAACCAACACTGGTTTAGCCACAAATCCAAAGCTCAGCACCCTACAGGCTGATGTGGAGAAAGTTAACACCCTTGGAAAGCTGATCAGTTTTTAAAAAAAGTCTATAAACCTAAAAAAACCCCCCATAAAATAAAAAAATCTTACTGTACAGAAAAATCCTACTGTACAGAAAGCTTCATCTGGCATTCCAACATCTTCACAATCTCTTGTGTACAAAATACACTATCAGAAAAGTTTATACTGACACACTCTGAAATAAACTGTCCCAGAACTTCATCTCTGGCAGTCAAGAGAGGAGAGTACCCAATTACACAAGAGAGTACCCGATTACATATGTGGCTTGTACCAAGGTCTGCACAATCAAATGCCAATTGACCATGAGAGAAACCAAATCCCATCTACAATATTCTGGTCAAAATTTCCAGCTCACTAAATCCAGCTCTAGCAATGAAACTGAAATTTAACTCCCCAGTTCCTCAGATCAGTTCCAATGCAGAGAGGAAGGAGGAAGGGCACAAGGAAGCTAAGCTCCAGAATAGTAAATTCACAATCAAGCCTTTAGATAATAAAATACAGCAAATAACCTCTAGAAAAATGGCCTCATCCTGACTCTTGTCAAGTTTCTCCTTATTCAGAACATTCTAATAATTTAAATAATGTACATATATTCTTCTACTTACATTACAGCTAGTACACCATAATCCAATTTTAACTTCTGAATGACATCTTGTCCATGTTTCAGGACTCATATTTTAACATGTTTATACATTTATATATGGAATTATGTATCAGTTAATCTGTATTTTCAAGTTATTAGGTCAGATTTTTATATTCCCATCTATTTCAACTGGAAACTAACTGCACTGTCTACCTATTAGTCTGCATTTTGCCAGTGAATTACATAACATGCAATCAAATTTTTACTTGGGAAAGAAAATGAAAAGTAACAGTAAATAAACATGAAGTCTTTTTCTAACAAGATTCCCCCCTCATCACCTAGGTTAATAAAATAGAGATAAAGCATCTACTTCAATATACACACGTGTATTTCATTACCTAACAGTCTGTTTAGTTTTAGATGCTCATAAATAATTCTATAAATGCAATATATCCGAGTAAAAGTGAATGATTTAAACTGCTTGAAAGGGCTACATGAAAAAGATGTCTTATTTTTTTTTCTAAAGTCAGTTGTACAAAGCTGCTCTTCAAGAAGAAAAATAAAATAGCAGTGGTTTCAGGCTAATCATTAAGCCAGTCGTTTTAGCAGAGATGGGATTTCTGGAAATACTCAGAGGAAATGTTAACTTTCTACACTATGAGCTTTTCCCCACACATGGTGATGAACTCAAGGAACTGGTCTGAGAAGAAAGACAAAGTGTTCTTGCAGAACAGTTATCAGAAACTGTCACAAAGGCAAAGGGAATGAGGATGTGACAGGGCAGAGATCAGCAGAGACTTGGTGACAGCTGTTCCCGTGAAGAGCAGGTGGATGTGACACTGCAGCCTAGAACTCAACCAAAAATCAGAAACTCAGGAACAGTCAACCACAGAGCTTACAGCTTTGTTATTGGCACAAAGAACAGAAAGGAATTAACTGTGTGAGCACAGCAGGTGAGGGCCTACCTTGTCTGCTCTTAAAATATTGAAAGCAAAAGCAGATTTGCACTGCGAGGCCAGTAAACTCAAGAGTGAAACGCCAAGGAGAAAGGCACTGCACAGGATCGAGGATGCTCCAAAGACCATGGGATTTAATTAATAACTTGTTATTACTGGATAGACAAAGCCCTAGTCAAGGGCAACTGTTCTTCCTGGGCCCTCCAAGATAACCTCAAAGATGCAGCAGCACTTCTGAGGGCTGACTCAGCACAGGAGGTAAGAAGGTGACAGAACAGCAAATGGAACATCCTGCAAATAAATTTCTCTAGGAGCGTAAGGAAAGGGAATGTCGACCTGTGGTACCTAACAGCTCTCTCACACCACAGAAATGAGGGAAGGAAAAGGTGATGAAGCAGCACAAGCTTCCCCAGAACAAGGAAACAGAGGCCGTGCTCCAACATTCCCCTATTAAATTTTTCTAATCTTTTGAACTTTCCAGATGAAAAACCACAACACAGAAAAAAAAAGAACCCTCCCCAATCATTTTATCTTTGTTCCAAGTCTTCACAGTTTTTCTCTCATTCTGATTTCATATGCTGCTTTGTAAGAAAGAACTATACAGGTCTGCAACAGAAGACTCCAGAAAGTTTTTGTATTTCATTTGCATTGATCCAGTCCCAATTACTGTCACTGCTAATTTCAGCTGGTTTGGGTTTTTTTTTCATCTGCACACATGAAACTGAAAGGTCTGATGGTCGCTAATTTCAGCTGGTTTGGGTTTTTTTTTCAGATCTGCACACATGAAACTGAAAGGTTTGAAATCTGCTCCTGTGAAAAGGGAAGCGGTATTACAGGCACAAATATAGAAGACTGTTTCCACTGATGCATCTACCATACTGTGGTTTATTACCTACAACAGCATTCATAGAATCATAGAATGGTTTGGATTGGAAGGGACCTTAAAGATCATCCAGTCCCAACCCCCCTGCCAGCAGCAGGGACACCTTCCACTAGACCAGGTTGCTCAAAGCCTCATCCAACCTGGCCTTGAACACTTCCAGGGAGGAGCAGCCACAGCTTCTCTGGGTAACCTGGGCCAGTGTCTCATCACCCTCACAGTGAAAAACTTCTTCCTAATATCTCATCTAAACCTACCCATTGCAAGGATAAAGTCTGCCACGTCTTTATCAGATGAAAAGTCAAGTCTCCTTGCTGTGAACTTACCTGCACTTCAATTAATTCACACAATATTCCAGACTTCCATGGAAATTTTTCTGCTAAAATCCCTTCCTGTAGGTTGGCACAACTGTAAAAATACCTGTTACTACAGCAAGCTTTTCTGCAATACTAACTTCTCAGAAGTTTATGCTGAAAGGTGTGAATTTACAGCATACCTTTTTGGGCTCAACCATCTGGACTGCTCTTGCAGCTATTTTGAAATCCACCACAAAACATCCAACAGGCAAAAAGGACAGATAGTCAAAGCAGTAGCCATCAAACAGACACACAAACACCAAATACACTGAAAAGAAACATAGTGGTGGGGCAGGAACTGTTTAAAAACTGCTTAAGTTTAAATTACACCCCAAAAAAATGTATATGCTATGAATGGAAACATCTATGATGTTCAGGATTTATCTGATGCTTGTCTTATTATTTAAAGTAGAAGCTCTCTAAGGGATAAATAAGCTCTGTATTTTTGAAGCACAGCACAGACTTGCAGCAGTATTTTAGGAAAAAATACAACATCTATTATTAACCATTGTCAAGATACCGGCCTACAGCTCATTACTTGGGCTGCTTAAAACCCCCTCTTTTTGGCATATTTCTCTATACAACTGGTTTAAACAGAAAAAAAAAAAGCTATTGCTGAACAAGCAGCAATTTATCAATGCACCATTAGCCTCCATGTAAAGTCATGAGATGGCTGGTTAGCAAGACAGGTCGCCAGAAACCCGCACATGTGTGTGCTGGAGTAAAAATAACAAACGAGGAATTAATTTGTAACACTTGATTTTCAAGCTCCTTTCTGCTTTGCTCAGCTGCTGCGACACACACCGCATAAAACATACTCAAAGGTCAAATGGGAGAATGCAAATTTCCACAATAGCTCTGCGTTTTCCAGAGACTGCACATTTTAGAACAGAACAAGAACCAACAAAGCCAAATCAGCTCAAATGAAGCTACTTACAGCCCAAAGAGGAGAGAAATTACTGCACCTTTTAATGAGAAATGTATTTCCACGGTGAAGCTCCCTCACAAATTTAACTCAGGCTTGATTTGACAAGCATTCCCATTTACAAAAGGGAAGCAATGCACTCCTAAAACATGTATTTACCTGTGAGGCTAAAGAGATGTGGGAGTTTTACAAGAGAAGGTGAACTTACTTTGGACCGAGTTCTTTTATGATTCTTCTCGCTGAATTTCTCCTTCATTTCCTCCAAGAGATGCTTCAGTTCCCGTTCCTCCGAAGTTCCTAAGTATTTTTGGTTAATATGCAGGTAGCAGTGCCACTTGGCCGACTCAAACCCCCAGTGGCAGGTCCTTTTGTCCGGGGATCTGTGAGAATGCATCACAAACGTCTGGGGTGAGAACATCCCGTAGCATTCCAAACACTGGATACACGGGTCATCCGGCGCAAGGTAGAACTGAGGTGCAAACAACCCCTGGCACTTGCCCAGGCATTCATGCTCGACTTCGAAGGCACTGCCAGTCTCTTTCAATTGAGCCAAGGTGTTCTTACCAGGGAGAAAACTGCCATTTTGGGGAAAAGTGCGAGGACGTAGTAAAGCATTGCATAGTCTCTGAGCGTCGGTCAGCGTAATCAGCCCGCAGGAGGGAGCATTAAATGGAAGAATTCCTAAAACCTTCAGAATATGAAGCTGGTCAGAAGTGCACCTTGAGCAGTAAATATATAGTTCATCACACACCGTATTGATCTGTTGCAATGAAAAGTCTCGGAGAACTGAATTCAACACCTGAGGCAGGCAAAGTCTTTTTTCTCCTCCGACTTTGAAACAAGAGATAGATTCCCCCTCCAGTACAGTTTGGGTGAGTTCTGTGGAGCTGTCCGGAGGAATGAGCAGCGGACCAGAAAGTATTCGTGGCGATGGAAGGGGCAAGAAGACAGTGGGTGACATACTTTCCTGGGAATAACGAGCTGAAAAAGCTGCCGGTCCACCCAGTGAACTCTGGCTGCTCAAGTGGAACTGTGCCAAGGTGTGTTTCAAACCTGGATTTAAATTCAAAGGCTCAGATAGCGAAGCACTGTTTGGTTTGGCTGTTTCCCCGTCAGCCTCCGCAGGAGTTTCGTCATACTCGTCCAAGTTTTCCTTCTTTATTGTTGGCAATTTATTTATTACAACTCGAACTTTGCTATTTACATGCATTTCTGTCATTGCTTTTTTTAATGGAGGACTCCCATCCTCTTGCATCCCACTCCTTTTTTGGTCAGAAACGAGACTTAGAGGGAAATTTATTTGTGGGCTTTCCATTGCTAAACACCAGAATTTTAATTAAATAAGTCCTGAATGTGCATTTTCCTGCTGGTTCATATAAAAAAATTTCAAGTGATCTTGATGACCTCAGGTACACCAAGTTTTGCACTCCTTTCAGTAAAATGTTACTTTTTCAGCCTCCAACAGTAAAAACCTGTAACCCATTTTGCATGTAATACCATAAAATTAATAATGGAAAGGTTACACAAATTGTTCTTTTATAGTTATATGTTCATATATAACTATATATAAAAAAAAATCCACTGCAATATGTATAGAAAAGGCTTTGCTTCATACCCTCCCCGCTATTTTACACAGTAGTCTTGTACAGTAATTTAGTAAAAAACGATGCATTGGTGCAAGAGTGTCCATCCTTGATCATTTTTTTTCCCCCTTTAAAAAATATACTGTCTCTTCAAATAAGTCTCTATTTAAAATATTAAAGTAGAAAAACGGTTTGAAGAACGCTGATCTTAACGCAACGGATCCAAACTGTAGTTTAAGTCGTATGAAAATTTTATTCAGCACTTTTAGTTCTGGGAGATCAAACACAATCTTTAAGGGCTTGCTTTAATTGCGCTTGAAGCCAACTTCATGATTTCACCACCGCCACCAGAGTTACTATGGCAGTTCCCAAAGAAATCCCCCCCAAATTAAAGGCTGATCCAGAACGCCGGCCAAAACTAAACGTCCCTAGAGAGTCACCTTTCGCACAGATGTCACTGGCGTGCGTCAGAATTTTCCCACCCCGAGTTATTAGTGAGAGAGGTAAGATCCAGGCCATCGGCTACGCTCATGCCTTGTGCTAACGCCGAGTTCTCTGTCTGCCCTTCCCGATTCCCTGTGTGGAAAGAGAGAGGTCAGGCATGAGCCATCCCCAAACGCGAGCTGGCGATGTCAAAGAGCGACCCGCTTCTCTAATTAATCACGAATTTCCTATAAAGCCCAAGCGCCAGCACAAGCCCTGGCAGATGGGCGAAGCCGGCGGCAGCTGCCCCA